GATCAGAGAATAAATCCAGAATAGACAGGGAGCCAGAGATAGCATTCTGAATTTAAATCTGATATATCTGTTTAGAGCTCCGAGATCTAAAATTGGACACCTCCATTCTTTTTTAGGATTAAAAATTAATGGAAGTAGAACCCTTTGTTTCTGTGAATTAATGGTAATTCTTCTACAGCCACTGCATGCAGCAGAATCTGTATTTCTGCTCTTAATAATCTCTCATGGGAGGGGTCACTGGAAAGGGAGGGGACCCCTCCAGGGTCTCTGCTAATCTGAGCTGGGGGAAAATTCTTTCCTGACTCAAAATATGGCAGTCAGTTGTTCTGCCCTATTAGAATCCAAACAGTCCAGAGATAAAGGTTCTTTCTTTATATTCATAAATAATCCATATTTATATTTTCTTCTCACAGAAAACAGAGTTTCTCTACCCACTTGGGCTTTTCCTTTGATGGGAATGAGGAATGCACTTTGAGTCTCTGACCTCAGGTCATCCCCAGAGTGGCTACTTACTTTGGAATTAACATCTTTTCTGATAAAGTCCTTCATTAGCATTCCCCAAGGCTTTCTTTGATTTCTGAGGGGTTATTTTCTTACAGTGGTATTTACTGTGTAAATGTTTGCTATTATATTATGACAGGAATAGATAAGTAAAAACAATACATGTAACATCCCATAAGTTTTATGAAGTTTAAACATCTGAACACACACTTAATACATCTAACCGTTATTTTGATCTACACAAGTGAATTGACCTGAATACATTCTAACATAACCTGGTCAACCAGTGTCACACACTGCTTGATAATTTGCTACTTGCATGTTAAAGGAAGCTGAAGTAAACAATCTTCTCCCTGCAGAGTTCAACTTTATCATAAGGGGTAGAGAGTTGAAGACCACACCTCGATTTTTGAAGTGTTGCAGGTATAACTAAAGAGTTAGGCTGAGGGCATATGTGAAAACAAGAGAATCCCTCATGTGGTATTTTTGAAACTGGTTGGCACAATGACAGATTAGACCAAAGGGATTAGACCAGAGCCTTTCTAATATAGGGAACAAAACATAAGCCTTTGCAGTAGACCCCAAAATGTCAAAAACTGGATGTGTGCCCTCCTCCAAAGCCACTGATGGTAATTTTAAAATGGATATCATTCTACCAACTAGTTCATGAAATTGAATTGCATCTTCTGAAGGAGACAATGCTGTTGTTACTCTCATAATGCCATCAGGGCATGAACCACTTTCTGGTTTCATTAGATCTTGGGATTCATTGAGCGGAGATCCTTCCTGGTACTCCTCTTCCAAGAGAGCATCCTGTGCCAAAGAAGGGAAACATTTCCTACATCTCAGATCCGTACATATCAGATCTGTAGGTTCCAGTGGAAGATGATCCAGCACCAGAGTATCAGATATTCTCATATGGTCTTGGTAAGTAGGAGATGGCCAATATGGCCATGGCACCAAAGATGGCATGATCCAGTTTTGCCAAATTCCCCAGTCTGGCATCATATCATCTGCTTGTTAGTCTTAAAGGTGCCACAAGACTCTCTGTTGCTTTTTACAGATCCAGACTAACATGGCTACCCCTCTGATACTTGAATTTACCTAGATTCTTCAATGAAGCCCACAGGAAAATTCATATAATACAGAAATTGAGCAAATCAAAAACACAAGATTTCTAACAAGCTCAGCCAAATTAATAGAGAACACATTAAGTCTACATTTTCTAATGTGGACATCGAAGACAGACTTTTAAAGTAATAAACACAAAACAAGTAATTGTGGCTAAAATTTCCCCTTTTGGCAGGGACACAATTTAGGCACCCACATGAAAAATATGGCCTTTTTGAGAGATTACCACATCATGAGAGGCAACATCTAAACTACAGGGCATAAAACACAGTATGGCAAATAAAAGGTCTGTTACTTTGGTAATAAACATCACACGGTTTGGTAATAAATATCTCCCAATCCTCCAAGAGTTCAAAGATAAGGCAAAGTAAAGAATTAAGCAGCATAGTATCATGTTACTCATGATAAGGAAAGAACTACTGGGCACAGGAAGGGGCACATGAAGCGATGTGGAATTCAATTCTACATAGTATGATATGGTTGAGTCCTGTGAATATTTTGACTTCAGCGTGTCAGGACACAACATAATGGCACAAGAGAACAAGCTACTGAAATAGTTTCGGTCTACTCTGGAATCATTAACTTACAAAGAAACAAATCTGAGTAAAAGTACTGGATTGTGAGATTTCTAACAAGTCTTTCCTTAGGACAAAATAGAATCAGCCACATATTAAGAACAGATTTGAATAGCTGGAAATTGGTGTGAACAGGAGGATTTTCAGGTACATGAACATAACACACAAGACATGATTCCTATGTAAAGGTTAACAGTCCAAAAGTTATGAGCATGTAATAGATGAAAGAACAGAGAGCTGTAGGAGCAACTTCAAAGTAGTGGATGGTGTAGGCCTGATGAAACACAAAGTTCTGGTTCAGTTCTGATCACTTGAACTTACCATGGTGGAATAAAAATGGATTTGCCTTTGCAAGATTAATGGGTACTTGCCTTTCACACACAAAAAAGTATTCAAATCTCAATTCTGAATATGTGGCACTATATACAAATTATCAGGGAGATTTACATCTCTCTCATCTAGTTCCTCTCTTCTCAAACTGTTCACTCACGTTGACAAAGTTATTTATTAGGCCTACTGAAACTGGACTCTAAACCTGTTTACTTGGGGCCTTAAATTGTTTTTCCAACTTTGTCCCAGCCTGAACAAAATGCACCTACTCAAAAACAAAAGAGATTTTTAGATGGCCATGTGCCATCTGATTCTTCCTAAGTGAGCTGTAAGCACTATCATTCCCATACTGCTAAAGGTTCTGTAACAATACAATTTGTTGTTTATTATTGCTGAGAAATATCATTTAAATAATATCTTACTTTTATATAGTACCTTTCATCCTGATATCCCAAAGCAACATACGAAACTGAAATGCTACCACTCATCCTCCCATTCTAATAGTTGAACTCAGCTAATATGCCTGTCCATTTTCAAGTTTCAAATTGCTGGTGTTCCCAGGGTAAAAATCACAGGAGGGCCAAATCCAAGCATGGTCAGTTGTGCCATTCATCCTTCTGAGGTAGCCAGATTGAGTATTATGCAATTTACTGTGGTTAACATCTTACAAAACACAAGCTCTTTGAAGATGTCAAAAATGTAAAGACATTTTTTGTTGGCATAGGTCTGGTATACTTTGCCAAAAAAGTTCCTGCCACATATTGTTGAGTAGCTCTTTTCTGCTACCCTCTATCCCAGAGGTGGCTGCTTTTCAGTGTTATATATTGCTATTGGACCCTTCAGGAAGAAAGGTGCTATATAAATGCAAGATCTTTTTAATAAAGATCTCTCTCAAAAATATTCAACAAACTTTAGTAATACAGATCCAAAAAATAAAGCATACATTTCTTTAGATCCTGGTGTTGGTTTCCTTTTGTTCTTGCCTGTGTTTGGCATTTTTGCATATTGGTTTTTCAGTGACAGCACCACAGGATGTGAGGACCTCACATTCATTAGTGAATTTATCCTCACAAAATCCTTGTAATATAATAAGAAAGTATTAACTCCATTCTACAGATGAACAATGGAAGCACCAAGACATGAAGTGATTTGCAAAAGGTCACGCGGCAAGTCTGTGGCAGGGCCAGAAACAGAACCAAAATCTTCCATGTTCCACTCTAAGGCCTTAATCACAAGACAATCCTTCCAAACTATTTTTACCAGGTTCACTCACCACTAACCTGGGAAAATCCAACACAGAATCTTCTAAGAAGAAAGAGGCAACTGAAATAAGATTATTGAACCAGGAAGAAATCATATTAATTAGTCAGAGAGAAAACATATAAACAGTGTAATCATAATACAAGGTAAACCCCCCAAAAAGTAATGAGTTACCACATCAGCTGTTTATTTGGTATCTGTGTGCAAACACAGAAAAAGCTCAAAGAGAAGAGAGATGATAGCCCTCAAATGTGCTTGACATCATAGGCCTAAGAAAATGGAATAAGAAGGGTTCCAACAATAATAACACTAATAATATAACGGCACAGTTAGGCATTTGACTAAATGGGTTCCTTAGCCTCTTTTCCATTAAAAAATGTCCTAGTTTAAATTAGGTTAAATGCTTATTTTCCAACATGCAAAGTTAATTTAAAAAAATACTTTCTCCAGTTTTATTTTTGTATTTTTTCATTCCACATGTAACTGGTTAAAACTCATTTAAATTAACACAAATCTTATTTTCTTCAGTATTTTAACATGTGTAAGAGACAAGACAACATTTACCAATAAATCTTGTAATCAGGCTTCATTAGACCATCATAAAAGGAATTCAGGACATCCTCTGACATTTAACATTTTTGTATTTTCCATTCTTAATAGGCCATCATTATGACAAACAACAATTCTATTTATGTGGTTCATGAGAGAAAAAAGTAGTTATGACCATTAAAATAAAAAATGAGAAAATTTCAAAACAAGCTCTTTATATTTTTGTATAACAAAAAAGAGATTACTAGAGAATAATTTCTTTTACAAATAAAAGCAGGATGAAGGCAAAGACAATGTAAGCTCCTAGCAATGCTGCCTCCTATCTCTCCTCTATAATTTCTACTAATGTTCTTGGTCATGATATGCCTCAAATATGAGAATTGAAAGACTAATTGGCATGTCTACTTCCCATTTTGAAAACCCATGTGTTGTTCAGACATTTACTGAACTGAAATATAGCTGTTGGCAGAACAAGCGAACTTAACCAAGGGGAAACAAAACTCTGTTTCCCTAGTTATCACTAGCAAGTCACCAACTGGACTTCTTAATGACTACCTGATAAAATAGATTTGGATGTACTTTGATAATTCTCAAGATCAGCATTTCTCCCCTCTTTCTCTTCCTTCATTAACAAAAATGAACTGGTCAACTCACCTCTCTTTTCTCTGTTAACTTCCTCCAGGATATGTTCTTGCTTTTTTATTTGTTCAAAGAGAGATTGATGCTCGCACTCCTTGCTCAATGTCAAGTGCTTAAGCTGCTCTCGACTCTGCAATAGGTGGCGCCGCAGCTTCCGTTCCTTGCTTTCTCTCTCTTTCACCTCTTCACACATCCATTGAAGTTTAGTCTAGAGAAGAACAAATTTATGTGACACTAAAAGGAGAGAGAATTCTAATAAAAATACTAGGACTTAAATTCTACACTGAATGAACAAGAACATTTGGAATCAGCTTACTGATTTATAACAGCTATTGCTATACAAGTTTAAAAAGAAATATTAAAAATATATTAAAGGACAAATTCTGACTTAACATGCAAATTAAAATGTGCACATATATTTTGGTTGGCAGCAACTGCATGCTCAAGCCAAACATGTAGATTATTTTTTCCAGGAGGATAAGCCTGCAGGCTGTGAGTCTATTGGCCATTGCTGGTTCAGAGGGGACACGGCATACAGGCAGCCTGGTGAACAGACCCCACCCTGGAATGCGATGGCATGATTCCTGCAACACTTGGTTTGCAGAGGAACATAGGCACTGCCATAGTGGATCAGACCCAAGAGCTATCTAGTCCAGTAACCTGTCTCTGAAAGTGGCCAGCAACATGGCCATGCTTCAAAGGAAGGGGTAAGAAACAAGCAGTCGGTAAACATGGGAAAATCTGCCTCCCACATAAGGTCTCCTGATCTCCAGCAGTTAGAGACTGGATTAACCCCTGAAGCATGAGGTTTAATAGCTCTTCCACAACATTTTTATCATGAATTACAATAACTTTCAATCATTGTGTTATCCATATAAATGTCTAATCCCTTTTTGAATTTTATTAAGTTAACGGCCTAAATGTCTTCCTGTGGCAGATAATTCCACAGGTTAGTTACATATTGTGTGAAAAAATATTTCCTTTTATGAGTTATGAATTTCCCACCATTCAATCTCATTAAATGTCTTTGTTCTTGAATTATGAGACAGGGTGAGCTCAAGTTTCCCATCTACCTTCTCTATGTCATTCATTATTTTATCCACTTTTATCATGTCCTCTATTATCTCCTAAGGAAAATAATCCCAATCTTTTCAATTTCTCTTCAGTTTCTTTTCCAGGTACTTAATCATTCTTGTCACAGTTCTCTGAACTCCCTCTAGTCCTGCAATATCCTTTTGAGATGGGATGACCGTACTGCACACAGCATTCATGATGAGGCCATGCCACTAATTTATATAAGGGCCTTATACTAGTCCCATATTGCTCATTCCTTATGAAACCTAACATCTTGTTTGCTTTTTTGACTGCAGTTGCACCAAGCAGAGGTCTTCACTGAGATGTCTTCAGTGAAGCCCAGGTCCCCTTCTTGAAATTATATAGTTAATTTAGAACTCTAATGTGTACAAGCCATTTAATTTTCCCCTCCAATTTCCACTACTTTGCATTTATTGACATTAAATTTCAATTACCATCATGTTGTTCATTCACCTTGCTTGATTAAGTCTCTCTGAACTTCCAAAATATTCTCTTAACAGATTTAAGGGAAACAACGAATGGGATGCAGGACTTCTGCCCCATATTTCCATCACAGAGGCGTTGATTTTTGGGAAGGGTACCTATACAAAGTGCCCTGAGAAAATCTGGCTCCAACGTTGAAACCGGAGCTTCTAAGCAAAAAATGCCAAGCTCTAAACTGACCCAAACTCAAATGGTTTGGTTGACCCATAAACAGTAGAAGGAGCACATGAGCTATTGAACTCACAAATACAACTTTGGCCTGAAGTCTTCTATATCTTCCAGTACATTTAAAAAAAATGTATGAAATCTTTGTATTAAATTGGGGCCTATGGAGATTACAAATTCCAATAAGTCTTGTGCTTTTGCAAAACTCAAGATGGCTTAATGTACCACGGATCAATATAGCGCCCACATCACTGCCGTGGAAGAGTTCAAGTATCTAACAAGAAATCTGTTCTTTTAAAATTTATGCAACTCAAAATACTAAGAGTGGACCTACGGTCTACCAGTTACAGACCAGGGTCTGGAAACCACAAACGGAGAGGTAGGTTCGGGGTGACTGTAATAGGTTCAAGTCACAATTTCACTACTCACAGTTTGAGGTCAGAAGCCATTTGACCTACATGTACCTGCGTCAGCTCATAGCTTTGGGTGAAAAAAGCATTTAATTGAAAACCACATAATGCATTGTCCAGTGAAAAAATATTTACTCCCAACCTACCTCACATAAATAATCCATTAAGGTATATGGATTAAACTACAATAGCTACAACAACAACAAAAAAGGCACTATTCCCACTGTCTCCACTCCAATTAAGAGCTGAGTTTTTAAAGAGTTAAACCTGAACAAAATCATTTCTACATCCATAAATTCCCAGAACTAAAGAAGGAGGGAAGAAACAAAGAAAAGAAGATGGGGAAGGAAGAAAAACATAGGACAGAAAAAGTGAGATTCTAAAGGGGAATAGATTCCACCCTGAATGATAGTGAATGTGACAACAGGATGCAGAACAAATCATTTAAAATTGTAGATACTGCAGTACTTTATGCAGTACCTAAAGACTAGTTTGATTCTGTTCTCATACATGGGGATTGAGGATATGTCCAAAATTCGTACTCCAGCCTCGGGTCATAATTAAAAATGGAATTTGAGCCTCTCTATTAAATGAGTCAAAAATCACCAATTTCAGGGAGAGCCTATACAAAGATGACAATGTCATGATTACAGTAGCACTGTGAAAACTAACTAACACCTGCAGCTCTAACCGCATTCCCTTCAGTGTCAGCCACGTGAACCACAAAATAATTTCTCATCTATCTCTCCCTTGACTGCTGTAAAGAGATATGTCCCTATACCTGAGTCCCTGATGCTGCAGCAACCGAGCCTTTAACATGAGACCACATTACAATCTTTGCTGTGAAATGGGATGAGACTGCTGGGTTTTGTGAGAGTATCATCAGATTTGCATATTAGTAAAGTGAAAATGTGTGAGGTTTTACAGAATGCTGTACATAATACATACACATATACACACACACACGTGCATGTGCGTCCGCACACACACACACACACACACACTTACTTTTAAAAAAACTGAACAGATAAAGCAGAAATTCCATTTACAGTTAGCAAAAATATCATTTCAGAACTAAGGTTTAATCTGAGAGATGACTTTTAAAGCATTAAAAACCACCATCTTTTATGCTAACAGCTAAATATTTAAGGTATCAACCACTTTAAAAATAAGAAAAGCCCAGGACTTGTATATATTTTAACCACTTGCACTTCAGTTCACTTGAGTGACTGGGGTTATTGAGGGACCAAGTTGGGTTTAACTAGGAATACAGGGTTTTGGCTGTGAGACTCTTGTTTTCCCTGGTGCTTCAGAGAGCCAAAGCAGCCGTGCCAGAGGATGCAGAGTCTTCCCAGCAAGGCATCAGTGCTTGAGGAGATCTCCTCAGTGATGCTGCTTTGGGGCACCAGGGAGCTAGAGCAGTAGTACCAAGAAGAGCCCCAGAACAAGTGCCAAGGCTGCAGCATAGGGACACTGAACCCCATCTGCCCAGCCCATGGCCCCTATATACACTCACATGTTTCACTCCTGATGCAAAAGTTTCTCCCTCACACATGTCCCAAACACCCCTGAAAAATCCCCTTTCTTCCAAACACACGTGGATCCAAGTACATTTCTCTCCGGCTCCCCCCCACTCCCTGCTCTATCTCCAACATTTCTACTCACCTCACATGCACCTCCAGAGCACTACCACCTCCCCCAGAGTCCACCCCCATATATCTCTGCTGCCCAACCTCACCAGAGGTATGTACAGACCATAACTGGGGAGAGAAATAGTTAGAAAACATCCATTAAAACCAAATTTCAATGAAAAATTAAAATAAACTTTCCTAAAATATTTGAAATTTGTTGTTTCTCATCAGCACACCGGTAGTCAGGAAGGGAAGATCATCTAGTTCATGACAAATAAGGGAAATAAACTGTGTATTTCATTTTAAAAGTTCAAAAAGCAACCTACGTCTGAGAAGTTATTAGTATGTCTGACTGGGAATAGTTTGTGGGGACTATTGAGCTTCAGAAACCTAATGATACATGAGGAAAACAAAACCAAATTTCAAAAAGGGAACATTTTAAAACAGTGCCTCTGCAAAAGTTAGTTAAAAAGACATGGAAAAAATTGCACAGAAAATTCAATTGTCCTATGAAGAATTACTGTGCCAAATGTGGAGACTAAATTCAACCACTCAGGTATGAAACAGAGTGGATTTTAGTCCTGCTCTAAGGGCAAATCTTGATGTAACCTCAATTACAGAATAGTTACTCTGTCACTCAAACACACACACCCAGAACCAAAACAACTTATCTTTTTTCTCCTCAGCTAGCTATGAAAAAATAGTTACTAATCTGTTCCATAACTGTTGTTCTTTGAGATGCATTGCACATGTCCACTCCACTCTTGGTGTTGGTGCATCCAGCGCACGGCCATCAGAAATTTTTTCACTCAACAGTATCTATTGTGTGGCTCGAGCTCTCCCTGTTGTCCTCACACACCACTGTGTGCAGGTATAAAGAGCAGAGCCATCCCTAGCCCCACTGTCATATGTGGTTTTGGTAGAATACAGGCAAATAAATTGGCTGGTTGATGTGGAAAGAGGAAGCCACCCTTGGGACGAACTTCAGATGAGGATGTAGAGAAATGTTGTCCTTAAAAAAGATTGTATGTGGAAATCCCGATATTAATGCCCCAGCTCCCCTACTCTTCTGGCCAAGGTAATGGCCCCAAAAAGGCCAACTTCATTGACAGATGCAGCAGTGAGCAGTAGTCAATGATTCAAATGGGGGACACATACGTCTTGAGTTCAGATCCCACGGTGAAATGGGGTCTTGTACTTGAGAGTATAATTTTTCTGTATTGATTAACTGATCCAGAGGATTGAATGTTGACTGGCTCGGGGCAACACTGCTCTGCACTTGCAGTTTGGACTGGATTTTGACAAGGTAGGAGTAAACCCGCACTCCTGATCTTCAGAGGAATGCAGCTACTACCGCCATGATCTTTATAAAAGACCCTGGGAGCTGCTGACAGGTAGTACAGTGAACTGCTAATGATTTTGATTTACCAGAAATCAGAGATACTTCCTATGGGCTTGAATGACTGCCACATGGAAGTAGGGATTTTTTAAATTGAGGGCAGCATACCAGTCCCTGGGATCTAGGGAAGGGATAATAGAAGCTAGGGTGAACATGCAAAACTTTCTCCTTTTTAAGAATTGTTGAGATGACACAGATCTACAATTGACCTGAGACCCCTTTCATTTTGGGGATTAGGAAATATGGGGAATAAAACCCCTTCCCTCTGATGCTACATGGAACCTCCTCTATGGCTCCCTGGATAAGGAGTTTTTCATGAAAGTGGTCCCTGAAGAGGGAACAAGGGGGATGGAGGGCGGGAGCAGTAGAAGCAAACTAGAGAATATATCCCACTTCCACCATGCTCAAGATCCACTTGTCCCAAGTAATCCAGGACCAAGCACTGCAGAAGTGGGACAGACAGTTTGCAATGGTGAGAGGGTTCAGGCCTGGAAAGATGGAGACTGGTATGTCAACCTCAACTGGCTCATAAAAATACTTGTTTTGTAGTTCCTGGGTGTCTTGAGGGGCCCAGTGCCGAAACAGCAGGCGAGGGAGGCGTACACCTATAACTCTTTTTTGATAGGTCCTGCGGAAGAGGAGTGGAATGGGCCATCTGGTCCAAGAATAGAGAAGGACCCTCGAAAAGCAAGTCCTGGATAGTAGTCTGGACTTCATTGTGAAGACCAGAAAACTGCAGCCAGGATGATCTACACATGGCCACTGCAAAGGCCATGGTTCTAGCTGCAGAGTCTGCTGCATCCGGCCCCACCTGCAGTGAAGTTCCCATGATCAGTCGGCCCTCACTGACCAGGGAAGAGAACTTCTGCCTAGTGTTCTCTGAAAGGAGCTCCTTTAACTTTTGCATGGAACCTCACAAATTTGCACAAACCTGACAAATAAGTCCAGCCGTCTGGCACCTTTTAATTTGGGGGTGGCAGCCTGGTGTCCCTGTCATTCTCTCTCATTAGCTGCTGTGACGACTAATGAGCCCAAAGGTGGGTGAATATACCATACTCAAACCCTTGGGAGGGTACATAGTAATTTCTTTCCACTTTTTTAGAGGTTCAAGGCAAAGAGAATAGAGTCTGCCCCCAAAGCCTTTATTGGCTCTAGTATCACCTTGTTAATTGGCAGAGCTATCGTGGAGGGCCCCATCGATGATAAAAGGACAACTCGAGAGCTCCCTGACCTCTTCGACCTGTGCACCTAAGCCTGCAACAACTCTTTTCAATAACTCATGACAAACCTTAAAATCACCAGGAGGAGGTGAAGTTGTGCCAGATGAAATGGCCTCATCTGAAGAGGAAGCCAAGACCAGGGGGATAGAATCTCTTCTACCAGCTGTTGCTCTGTATCTGGAACCTCCTCTTAATGCTTGATACCAGTCTTGATGCTGGCCTCTTGAAACAGAGCCACTCGGTGTGTAGATTCAGCCCTTCTAGATGAGGGCACTGAGTATGCACAGTGTTGGGAAGATCTGGAAGCTGGGGGAAACCCTCAAGAGTTCCAAAATGGCCACTGAACCAGGGCAGAGTCCAATTGTTCTGGCCAGAGTCCCATGCCAGGACCCATTCCTAGGTCACACCAGTAGGTGCACTGCTTACTGAAACTGCAGCACTCAGCACCTAGTCAGACTGGGACAGCGCCAACAGTGGCCTGAACACTGCCTTCATCAGCAGGAATTTTAGCCTAGCCTCCTTATTCTTCTTCATCCTAGGTTCAAACTCCCTGCAAGCCTAGCACCGGTTCCTCATATGTGCTTCTCCCAAGCACTTTAGGCAGCTGTTATGCAGGTTACTCACAGGCATAGGCCTGGAGCCAGACATAGGCCTGGAGCCATGGCTTGAAATCTGATGACCAGGGCATACCTTGGTGTCATACATAGAAAAAACCCTGAACAGGGAAAACAAGAAGTAAAAAAAACTTTTCAAAAAAATATTTATAATACTGTTAAAACTTACTTTCATAACATTACTAAGACTAGGCTAACACTATACACTATATTCAAAAAGGCTGAGAGAAATAACAGTTCTGGTAGAAAACAGAGTTCCAATGACAATCAGGAGTGGTAAGAAGGAACTGAGGGGGGCTAAAGGCAGTTCTGCCTTTTATAACTACACACTGTGGAGTATACAGCAGGGGGAACTCCAGCCATGCAACAGATACCGCTAAGGGAAAAAGTTTCTGACAGCCATGCACTGCAGTAGGTGCACTGACACTAAGAGTGGAATGCATATATGCAATCATTCAAAGAAGAACCAGGGAACACAACATTTGGATTTCAGAAATGTTAGAAACCGAAGTCCCCTTCTTTCCAATATTCATCAGCAAATGCAGTGACCTGGAAGTAGAATTCAAGTGATTCCAGGTGATCAGAAATTCAGCCCAGAAATATATTATTTTATATATAAGGTGCAAATCTACAGAACTGCAGTATTTCTATTCCCCTTCATTTCAGGTCTCCTCTACCAATAACTAAAGAAACTCATTTGGCAGATTTATGAAAACAATTACTAAATGCCCTTTGGAAGGTCCTTCTAATACTGCCTAGGATGTCAGAGGCAACTACCTGAATAGGACACTGTTTCCTATACAGTTCTTGTCCTCTGATTCAAAATCTTATCTCTGTTATTTATAGTGATATTCACTCTTGATCTATGTGTATTACGTTCTAGCCCATCAATAACCTTAAGCCGCCTTGCTAGCAAACAGATTCAATTTCTCCTCAGTCAATTGGTCAACTTTTCTTCTACTGCCATGACCCTTTTACACCGCAGAGAGAAAGGTTTGTTTCATGCAGTATAAAAGCTATTTTAATCATGAGAAGCTTAATCCTATTAAAAGATACGGGATAAGATTGCTTACAGGGCTTGCAAAGAAAAAAGCAAGGGTTAGAAGTTACCAGTCATCTCTTTGAACCATTAAGCCGAGGCACAGAAATGAAAGCTTACAGTAGGTTCACATGCCAGGGTTGGCAGGCTCATAAGAGATTTCCAAGCGTGTGTGTACTCACATTATGAGAGTCATGGGCTTTAAAAGAAGGGTTAAAGGAAAATAGCACGTTTTTCAAGAATCCAGTCTAAAAGCCTTTAGATATAGAACAAAACTGCTTTACATCAAAACATGTCTAGGCTTATCTTATAACCATATAGAAAGAAGCATGCCTGTGGACTATAAACTTATCTTGTTTTACTCCAAAAGTATTGATTAAAGAGAAACGGCAATACAGGACCAAAGGGTCATATTTTCAGCAGGCTTCCATCATTTCACCCACACATGCATTTGTTTTGCTGGGTGCTCAGAATTTGGGTGTGCTCAAATTTAGTGAGCACAATTAAGGGAGGAATGCTGTAAATTTGGCTCTACAAATATCTATCGCTTATTGATGCTAAATACCATAACTGCCAATAAAAGGGCCAATAAAAAGGCTAAAATCTGATACCCTTCAGAAATATGGTGACGCTTCTTCACACTGGAAATCCCCTACTGCTACCCAGCAAGAGATAGCCAAAGACCTTCAGCTGAAAAAAATAATTACCATCTATTGGCTTGAAAGGCCAGTCACCAAGCTGGAAATATCAATACACCTATCAGAGAAATGTTACAGGTTTTTAACTTTTTCTTTTTCTGTCTCCCTCCACCCCTTTTTAACTGCAATTTTCAAATACCATTTTTAGTGACCAAAACCAGCTAAATATTATTTTATCCAGTAATATCCAATAGATGTTACCTTTGTTTCTGCTAACCAGCGATGAGGGTCATTCTGTAACCCAGGTGTAAGTGATATTGCCTGGAAAAAAACATTTGACAAAAATGGAATTTTTTCTTATTTACTGAACAAAATGAGCGTACTAGTTCAAAACATCATTACTAAAGATCAGTGTTGACGGTTTATTCCTAAATATTTTAAAGAGCTGTTTAATTTTATATCAGTCACATTAAACTTTAATGTTTAAAGGATAAGGAATGCAGTGTCATCAACATAATTCTTGTTTAAAATGAAACTCAGGTCAACAGTTATTTGGTACATAGTAATTCTGTTATTTTTCCCACTTTATCCATATGATCACTACAACAATATGTGATTAGAACATCCTCAAAATGCTTAAATGTTTTATTATTAGATTATAGTTGTACTGTACCAACAACAATGCATAGAGATATATATTCTGGGTGGCCCTTTGTGAAAATTATGTTTAATTTACAGAGAAATGCAATTTACAACTATTGATCTCAATCACATGTTAAAATGCCAGTTTGTTTGTTTGTTTTTTAAAAAGACTAGGTTCAGTCACCCAACCTCATTTCCTCCAGACTGTATGGCACCACATTGTGTAGCACAGAAGTAGTACAAGCCATTCTTGCTTGTGATTTCATTGTTAGCAATTTGGCTTTTCTTCTGGAATAGAACATAAGATTTTGACTGCTTTAGTTAATTACACATTTCTTGCTTTATCACAGAGTGAGAGAAATGTACAGTGGGCACCAATAAAAACTCAATATTTGCTATTCCATTGTGATGGTGATATCTTCTATTCCAGCTATAAGAAGATACTATACTTACTTCAGGTATTTGAGATTGATGATTACAAGTTCTTACATATCCCTTCTTGTACATTAAGGTAATAAAATTACTAATGAAGACAGAAGATAAATCTGTACTGGGTATTTCATTAGCAAATCATACATCAGGTGGTCTGCCATGCCTCTCTTCCATCAATCCCTTTTAAATCCAACTACACCATAAATTAAAACTTGCTAATAAGGAAATATTATACCTAATCTCTACATTTTTTAATAAACACGTCTATTCATTTTCGTGGGTTGTTTTTCATTACTTCTTTTTAAAGAAGTAGAAAAAAATCTGTGTTTTGCACAGATCTATATTGTTAATGGAAGTCTAGTTAAGTTCAATGTCCATTTAACATCTGATATATCCTCTTTTGTAGAAAACAAACCTGTATGATGCCTTATATATCCTGTTCTTTCCCATCTCAAAGTGGTATAAATTTATTTATTGTTTAATTTACAATACTTGTTGGACTGGGGTACTTTTATATGGTATTAATGCAAAGAAGCCTTACTGTATGCCTATATGGGGCTTCTTTCGTGCAAGTCAAATTATTTTTTTGCAAGAAGTCTATTCCTTTAACACTATTTAAGTGGGTTCTACTACTGTACCTCTTGTACTGGTTTGCATATTGAGAGTGTCAAAATACTTGAGGATTTTTTGTTTTGCAGGTGGGAAGCAGAGGGAAGTTCATGTGGCAGCAAAAGACTGGTTGAAAAAATAAATAAATCCCAACAGTTTATCTAGAATGGTTTAAGTTAAAACTCCACTCTGGGACAAGTAGCAAATCTGGTCAGGTTTTTGCTTTTGGGAGAATTCAGTGGATGAAGACTAGAGATTCCCTAGCTTCCTCCAATAGCATCATTATCTTCCTCTTAAACCCTCACAAGACAACAAGATTGCAGTGATACTCCTAGAAGAAAAGGACTTGGGTTAAACCTTTCCAGAGCCCTTGACAGAACCCATAGTGCTGGGGAGAGAAGCATCACTGAAGTCCAGTGAGAGCCACATTTTCCCTCCTTCTTCCAGGGCCAATTGCACTGCCTCCATACAACACCTCTACCCAGTGCCAATATGGGAAGAGAGCAAGAAATTATGTTGCTGTAATAAAAATGATGTCCCCTTCATGGGCTAGAGCAAAGGTCAAGTGGCTCAAATATGTTTTAAGCTTGCCAATGGCATGCAACGTAAGGGGTTTGATGAAACTGGATGAGTCAGGAGAAACTGACAAGCAAACTTTACTTTTAAAAGGAAAACAAAACCTACATACTTTGGTATTACTTTTAAATTCCAAGTTAACTGTAATTTCTAGGAACCATGTAAATTAAAACAATAATTCCATCTGTGCTGCTCAGTAGATTTTAGAAATCAGAACTTGGGAGTTCATGAAAGGAGGAAAGTTAGGAAATGTGCGCTTTATTATGTGGTGAAACATTGAAACAGATTGATGTCTGTCTGCCAGGATGTCACACTCAGTTCATTACTCCAGAGTCTGAATATTTTTAAAATATTTAGAGAAATTTTCATGTTGAAAAAATGTCTATTTTCCCTTTTTTTAAGAAAGTACACTACAGCAGCAGGAACAACATTTACACTCTTCAAAAACCATGCAGTGTTAAGTGATAAAAGAATGTGTGTTAAAGTATAAAGCATACAAAATGTAACTATCTACATTCTCCATTTTTGTAATATTAGAAAATATATGATGACTTAAATTTGACATTGTTCACAAGAATAAACATAAGAAATGTTTTCTGTTGTACTACCAAACTTATTAAACAAACAGAATTTTTAAAATAAAAAAATAGTTTGAATCTAAGAAAGAATACTTTATTAAACTGGGTTTCTGAATCTTTGTTGAGAAACTATAGATATTTTACCAAAGATTATCTTCATTAATTGCTAGAGCAGCATGCTGAGGTCTATTAATAAATACCATAGGGGTTGAAATATGCTGACACTTTCTCTTTTAACCACTTGTCATATGAGAGAGACAGAACAAAATATGAAAGCATTACAGATATGACCCACAAGTTTAAGATCTAAACATCATTTCCAAGCAAAACAGTAAGAAAGTTAATGTACAGTGTCAAACAGTGTTATTATCCCCTCTGAGCCAATGTGATTCAGTTTGCGACCAGGGAGGTCATTTCACATCAACCAACAATAATTGGAAACCATTATTTATGAAGAAAAAGACTGGCAACTGAAAATAATAACTTCTGGTGATGCACAGGAGGGGGCTTGTGTTATCTCTCTATAAGATACATAGCAACATGCGTCACACCACAATTCCATAATACGCTTAATACCATATTTTTTTTAATTGTGTCACCTGTCATATTTGAAAACTATCTGTAGCAAATGTGTGACTACAAGCAGCCATGCATAAAAATTCCATTATAGTTACCCATTAGGTAGAAAACTAAAAATCTAAGGCAGACTGAAAACTAATAATTACTTTGAATTTCTCCACAGAGTCCCTGGAAAGGATTTCACAAGCTGCATCAATTTCACTTCCTATCATGGTGAGAATGGATTCTTGTTCTGTCTCTAGACAACGCAGCTGATCCCTAAGCTGTAATCTGGCCTCCTCCATCCTCCTCAAATGATCATCTTCACTGCTTATCTGTTTATCCTGGGGTAAAAGAATGAAATAACAATAAAAAAAGATTTACTATTAAATTAACATAACTCCAGTATCTTTTTTTTTAAGATTGTGCTTTCAGAATGCAAAGGGGCATTTCCCCATATAGCTCTCAGAACTTTATAAAAAAAAAACCATAAAAGGGTAATAACTTTCATAGTAAATAGGCAGGAAATGTGAAGATTTTTAACAAATAAGGCAGCTTGCCTTAATGACCTATCTCCTTGGCAAGTTATTGCCATATTAGATGGGAGATTTGAAATAATTTACCCAAATAAAAAGGAAAAATGGGGGGAAATACTTTATCATGATAAAACACATTTCTGTTAACAGACCATAGCAAATCTGCCTTTCAATATGCACTTTGAGCACAGAAAGCTCACTAAACGGGGACAGGGGGCTGCAGACAGGGGAGTTTGAGAGGGAGAGCAAGAGATCCCGCTGCCGAACAGGCTACCAGGTGAGAGGTGAGAGTACTAGCTGTTGGTGTGAGTGAGTCTGCTAGACTGTTTGAATTTTAATTGTGATTCTGATTTCAGGTGACTTCAGTTTCAGTTACAGCTGCTGTTGCAGTTGGGACTGAGTGCCTGACCTTGTTCCCTTGATTGCCTTTGATTGGCCTTCCCCAGTGTGACTCATGAGTCGGTGGGACTGACCTAGGCAAGCAGGCTTTAAAAACCAGAGGCAGAGCGACCAGGGGAGCAGAGCAGACAGGGGGCTGCAGACAGGGGAGTTTGACAGAGGGAGGCTTACGATGGTTAGGAAGACCCACAACACCTGTGCCAGCACTGCTTCTGTCTCCTCCACCTGCGCCTGTAGCCAGACAGAGCGCCTGAGCATGCATGCTTCTACCCAGATCCTGATGTGGTTTTGCAGGGACTGTAACTTGCAATTTCCACTTACTAATATCCAGGCTGCGGGGCGGGGGCATCCAATGTGAAAGGTGCCTGCTGGTGGAATCTCTCAGGCAGCAGATGGGAGAGCTACAGGAGGAGGTGGCTAGGTTGAGGAGCATCCAAATCCATGAGGAATTCCTGGACAGTGTCCATGTGGAGACAGCTGAGGTAGCTGTCCCAGTACACAGGACTGCTGACACACCACTGATGGAGGAGGAGATGGCTCAGGGTGAACACTGGCAGCTGGTTACTTCTGGCAGCAGGCAGTGCTCCACCCCTGCTCCGAATCCTCCCGCCGTGGTAATAGGTAACCATTATGCTCTTCTTGATACAGGAGAGAAGGAATCACCCCCTACAGCAGAGGAGGAGAAGCCTCGTACCCCTAAGGCTGCGAGGTCTGCTGCCACCACTGCGAATAGGAGACATAGGGTAGTGGTGGTCGGAGACTCTCTGCTGAGGGGGACGGAGGCACCTATCTGTCGCCCTGACATTTCATCTCGGGAGGTATGCTGCCTGCCGGGGGCCCATATCCAAAATGTTACAGAGGCATTGTCGAGGATTATCCAGCCTTCTGACTACTACCCCATGCTGCTCATCCATCTGGGCACAAATAATACTGCAAGGTGTGACACTGAGCGGATCAAGAGTGACTACAGGGCTCTGGGAGTACGGGTGAAGGAGTTTGGAGCGCAGGTGGTATTCTCTTCGATTCTTCCATGCAGAGACAGATGCATCATGGAGATGAATGCCTGGCTGCGAAGATGGTGTCACCAGGAGGGCTTTGGGTTCCTCGACCATGGGATGCTATTCGAGGAAGGACTGCTAGGCAGAGATGGCGTTCACCTTTCGAGGAGGGGAAAGACCCTATTTGGACACAGACTGGCTAACCTAGTGAAGAGGGCTTTAAACTAGGTTCGACGGGGACAGGTGAGCAAAGCCCACAGGTAAGTGGGGAACATGGAGACCTGGGAGATGGGTCGGAAACAAGAGGGAGCGTGGGCTATAATGGCAGAGAGAAAGGAGGGTCAGGGCAAAACTGGGAGGCAAGATCAAACCAGTATCTTAGATGCCTATATACAAATACGAGAAGTATGGGCAATAAGCAGGAAGAACTGGAAGTGCTAATAAATAAATACAACTATGACATTGTTGGCATCACTGAAACTTGGTGGGATAATACACATGATTGGAATGTTGGTGTGGATGGGTACAACTTGCTCAGGAAGGATAGACAGGGGAAAAAGGGAGGAGGTGTTGCCTTATATATTAAAAATGTACACACTTGGACTGAGGTGGAGATGGACATAGGAGACGGAAGTGTTGAGAGTCTCTGGGTTAGGCTAAAACGGGTAAAAAACAAGGATGATGTCATGCTAGGAGTCTACTACAGGCCACCTAACCAGGTGGAAGAGGTGGATGAGGCCTTTTTTAAACAACTATCAAAATCATCCAAAGCCCAAGATTTGATGGTGATGGGGGACTTCAACTATCCAGATATATGTTGGGAAAATAACACCACAGGGCACAGACTATCCAATAAGTTCTTGGACTGCATTGCAGACAACTTTTTATTTCAGAAGGCTGAAAAAGCTACTGGGGGGAAGCTGTTCTAGACTTTAGATTTTAACAAATAGGGAGGAACTCGTTGAGAATTTGAAAGTAGAGGGCAGCTTGGGTGAAAGTGATCATGAAATCAGAGTTTGCAATTCTAAGGAAGGGTAGAAGGGAGTACAGCAAAATAGAGACAATGGATTTCAGGAAGGCGGATTTTGGTAAGCTTAGAGAGCTGATAGGTAAGGTCCCATGGGAATCAAGACTGAGGGGAAAAACAACTGAGGACAGCTGGCAGTTTTTCAAAGGGACACTATTAAGGGCCCCAAAGCAAGCTATTCTGCAGGGGAGGAAAGATAAAAATGTGGCAAAAGTCTACCTTGGCTTAACCACGAGATCTTGCATGATCTAAAAAATAAAAAGGAGTCATATAAAAAATGGAAACTAGGACAGATTACAAAGGATGAATATAGGCAAAGAACACAGGAATGCCGGGGCAAAATTAGAAAGGCAAAGGCAAAAAATGAGCTCAAACTAGCTACGGGAATAAAGGGAAACAAGAAGACTTTTTATCAATACATTAGAAGCAAGAGGAAGACCAAGGACAGGGTAGGCCCACTGCTCAGTGAGGAGGGAGAAACAGTAACAGGAAACTTGGAAATGGCAGAGATGCTTAATGACTTCTTTGTTTCGGTCTTCACCGAGACGTCTGAAGGAATGCCTAACACAGTGAATGCTAATGGGAAGGGGGTAGTAGGTTTAGAAGATAAAATAAAAAAAGAACAAGTTAAAAATCACTTAGAAAAGTTAGATGCCTGCAAGTCACCAGGGCTTGATGAAATGCATCCTAGAATACTCAAGGATCTAATAGAGGAGGTATCTGAGCCTCTAGCTATTATCTTTGGAAAATCATGGGAGACGAGAGAGATTCCAGAAGACTGGAAAAGGGGCAAATATAATGCCCATCTATAAAAAGGGAAATAAAAACAACCCAGGAAACTACAGACCAGTTAGTTTAACTTCTGTGCCAGGGAAGATAATGGAGCAAGTAATTAAGGAAATCATCTGCAAACACTTGGAAGGTGGTAAGGTAATAGGGAATAGCCAGCCTTGATTTGTAAAGAACAAATTGTGTCAAACCAATCTGATAGCTTTCTTTGATAGGATAACGAGTCTTGTGGATAAGGGAGAAGCGGTGGATGCTTTACTAGACTTTAGTAAAGCATTTGATACAGTCTCGCATGATATTCTTATCAATAAACTAGGCAAATACAATTTAGATGGGGCTACTATAAGGTGGGTGCATAACTGGCAGGATAACCGTACTCGGAGAGTAGTTATTAATGGTTCCCAATCCTGCTGGAAAGGTATAACAAGTGGGGTTCCGCAGGGGTCTGTTTTGGGACCGTCTCTGTTCAATATCTTCATCAACGACTTAGATATTGGCATAGAAAGTACACTTATTAAGTTTGCGGATGATACCAAACTGGGAGGGATTGCAACTGCTTTGGAGGACAGGGTCATAATTCAAAATGATCTGGACAAATTGGAGAAATGCTCTGAGGTAAACAGGATGAAGTTTAACAAAGACCAATGCAAAGTGCTCCACTTAGGAAGGAACAATCAGTTTCACACATACAGAAAGGGAAGAGACTGTCTAGGAAGGAGTACGACAGAAAGGGATCTAGGGGTTATAGTATCAGAGGGGTAGCCGTGTTAGTCTGGATCTGTAAAAAGCAACAGAGTTCTGTGGCACCTTTAAGACTAACAGATGTATTGGAGCATAAGCTTTCGTGGGTGAATGCCCACTTCGTCGGATGCATCAGGACTCTGTTGCTTTTTAGGGGTTATAGTGGACCACAAGCTAATATGAGTCAACAGTGTGATGCTGTTGCAAAAAAAGCAAACATGATTCTGGAATGCATTAACAGGTGTATTGTCAGCAAAACACGAGAAGTCATTCTTCCGCTCAACTCTGCGCTGGTTAGGCCTCAACTGGAGTATTGTGTCCAGTTCTGGGCACCGCATTTCAAAAAAGATGTGGAGAAATTGGAGAGGGTCCAGAGAAGAGCAACAAGAATGATTAAAGGTCTTGAGAACATGACCTATGAAGGAAAGCTGAAAGAATTGGGTTTGTTTAGTTTGGAAAAGAGAAGACTGAGAGGGGACATGATAACAGTTTTCAGGTATCTAAAAGGGTGTCATAATGAGGAGGGAGAAAACTTGTTCACCTTAGCCTCTAAGGATAGAACAAGAAGCAATGGGCTTAAACTGCAGCAAGGGAGGTTTAGGTTGGACATTAGGAAAAAGTTCCTAATTGTCAGGGTGGTTGAACACTGGAATAAATTGCCTAGGGAGGTTGTGGAATCTCCAACTCTGGAGATATTTAAGAGTAGGTTAGATAAATGTCTATCAGGGATGGTCTAGACAGTATTTGGTCCTGCCATGAGGGCAGGGGACTGGACTCGATGACCTCTCGAGGTCCCTTCCAGTCCTAGAATCTATGAATAAACCTCCTAAGTCAAGGGGGCATGCAGAATGTGG